AGATTTTATGCATAGTTGTTGTGGAAAAGCTGTCTTTAATCGGTACATCAAAGTGCAATGGAAACATACCTGGTGTATAAATCATAACAAAGAATCTCATCTATTTGGCACTCAAGCTGTCACCCCTCTGAAGAGATGAAAGATCAGATCAGACATCAAAATTATGCGACATAAATTCCATATTCTCATTAAGTTTGGCAGCTACACTTTTAATTATGCCATCTAATTGCATTTTCCTCTTCTGCAGTGGTTTAATGGTTCCTGACTGGAGAGTCACAGCCACTGTTAATTAATAGATCAGCAGGAAAAGGCTTTACTTATTAACATTTCACTGAAATGTTTCATGGGTCGGATTTTAATCCAGTACAGTAAGTGTTTTATGTGCAGAAGCGGTGTTTCAGTCATAAATGATGATGCTGCTTGACCTGAAGCGTGTCAATGGGAATGGCTGTTAAATGTAATGATAAGAAATCTAAGAAATGGCACGATCTCACTGAAGAGAATTGTTAGGACACGTCACCACCGCACGGTGTGGCCTTATTCACCTCGATCCAGTGTTGCATAATCAACTGCAACCCCACCCAGTTTCCTCTGACCTACAGTGATACAGCCCAACCCTCTTCAAAAGGTTTCATTTGTGATGTCTGCAATCTTGACTCTGTTGAATCAGTCTGGCCACATTTGACTAAACACTGGTAGTGTAAAATCATTTTGCAGCACTAGTTGGAGTGATTGATTGTTATAACAGTAACATATCATATTGAACCTTTCCTGCTGCTTTGTAGTGTTGATGATAGTGTGACTAGACAGCTTTTGTTTTCAGCTTGCAAACCCGTACTTCATCTGGTTAGCCTGCAGGCCGGTCCTTGAGTTTGCTCCAAGTTTTCAAAGTAGAAAACAACACATTTCATCTAAATTATCCACTGTTTATATTGCAGGTGATGAATAGATCGTGCAGTCATGCTTTATATCTTTAGTGGCTGAAGAAATTCTTCAGGTTCAGTAGTTGAGAGGCCACGCATCAGTGCTCAGTTAAAACTACACATACAGCTCTGGGATGTGATTTAGTTGTTTGCATATAGGCTTAATAAGTAACCTTTGAAGGCATCAGCTGATATTTCTGATGTATTGTTTGGGTTCTTTTTTTTTCTCTCTGCTGTGTATATTCCTGATGTTAGTACACAGCACCTAGTAAATCATGTTTCATTTTTTATTTTGTCTCTTGTAGTCGAAGGTTAGAGTTACTGTCACATTCACCTGCTAGAGACTTGGACAAACATTATTCCTGGCATTGGGAGTGGCACACTGTAGAACAACAGTCATTAGACCTCATCAGGGAAGCAGACTGGTGGGGAGGAGGATTTGGAAGCTACTTGACCCCAGAGGTCAGCATTGATAATAAGCAGACAAGAACACTGACTAGCCAGCCATTCATTACATATGGCATATCAGCCCACTGTCACATGGAATTATTATATAAAGTCAAACAGTTACATAGGAGCTTTCTTAAAAGTTCACTTATTAGTTTGTCCTTCATTTAGACATACTAACCTGTTCTGACCACGGCTGGAGGCCTTCCTTAGGTGACCTGGCTTTGCTGTCAGTTATGGAAATGAATTCAGTGACAGTGATGCTTAAGTGTGTGATAACTGGTTAAAAAGAGTGAGGGAGATGGACAAGGGGGGAGTAATATCCTCTTGTTTTCCTTTTCCTCTAATTGATAAAGGGCGCTGGCTTGGCTGGCAGTCCCGACAGTTCCTGTCTCCCCCAGTTATTGTCTTTTTGTTTCTTGGACAGATGTAACTGTGAATGTAATTTCCCTGTAAGGGATTAATAAAGTATTATTGATTGATTGATTGATTGAAAAGAGGGAGTGAAGGACTGATCGATTCATTCTGGAATATATTATTATTATTTTCCTTTATCCACCAGGTGGGTTAATTGAGAACAAATTCTCATTTACAGTAACGACCTGGCCAAGAGGCAGCACAGAACAGAGAAAATATATTATTCTATTTAACAAGGATGTAGCAGCATCGGTTTATCCACCAGCAGACTGTGCACCAGCATATTGTGTAGAGGGAAATGTACAAATTTATTGAATTATGTTTATGAAATTTACAACCCCTCATCCACTGCCACCATCAACAACAACACACACACCAAAAAAATAAATAAATCTGTGATCCTTAAGCCTTGTCTAAACACCTGCTGTGTACTCTTTGTTCAATCCAACATTCAAACCATATCCTGACCCGAGGGCAGTCACGCCATCACATCTGATTTGTCTAATGCATGTGGTACGCACTGTTCCTCTACACTCAGAAATGTGTTTTGGTGAGTGTAACTCCACTTGAATGTTTGACATTCACTGTGCAGAATGATGTCTGTTCAGAGTTTGATACTAGAGGACTGTTTTTAAATTCATCTTCTGAAAGTACCTGCAAGCAGGATTTGTGACTCACAACTACTCTGTAAGCCAATCGTGGTCAAATACACACAAGTGTGATGTGGAAACCTGAAGCCTACATTGCACAAACACTGAGAATGGCTTTTCAGTGATGTAAGATACATCTTTTATCCAGTAGGTAAACATTTGAAATGAAAATTATTATTTTTTTTATGGGAAAACATGTTGGATAAGGGTTTATTTTTTTAAATTTTTTTTTTACATAATCTCTTCAGACATGCCTGGAGGTGATCTTTAAACTTGCTGCCTTGAGTATACATACAGCACGTAACTGACAGACTGAAGAGGTTGACTTCTGTATGTCAGTAGGACAGTTACATAAGAGGAAAGGCTTAAAAATGATCATGTATTTAATGGAAACTTTCACCTTTAAAGAAAAGAGTCATGGTCAGCGAAAAGGCTTCAAACCTGCAAAATATTTTGACTCCCTCAGTAGACAGGTAGCTGATTTAGGTGTCTGTTCACATATGGCTTCTAGTCCAACCAGTCCATGTGATATGCATATATAGCCCTAAAGGTAAGCAAACAAGCCTCACCCCTCACAACAAAGATTTCCTTGTTGAGTGTTGCCCCAGACTACCATCACATTACTGTAAGAAACAATAACTCTTCCCCCTCAGCTTTTCATGTACTTGTAAATGAATTGTAACTGATTATGTAAGGTGTGTCGGCATTGATAAAACGCTAATTCTTGGCTGCCAGTGGTGTGGTGTTTTAAACATCGCTGTTGGAGTATCCATTTTGTGCCTTCAAAATGAATTTAGTGGGGGATTTTTTTGTTTTTTTTAAACAGTAATGTGTCTACCAGGATTTCCAGAGACTGTTTATTATTTAAAGTCAGTCAGTTGCTCCTGGTCTGCGTTTTTTGGAGTAATGAATTTGCTTTTCTTGACAAATGCACTCCTCATCCAGATAAATGTAGGAGAGGATTTAGAAAGTTTCAAACTCCTCAAAATCCAAGATTAACACTTGAGATTAACTGTTTCTAATTTGAGCAAATGTGTCTTTTCAACCTACTGTTAGTGTTTGGAGTTAGCTCGTAGTAGTGTGTGTCGTGCAGTAACGACATTTGACGTTCAGAGTTGGGCCGTTTGGACACTCCCACATCCCTACAGGACAAACTTCCTGCTTGTGTTGCGATCCTTGTCCTGTCGGAAACATGCCACACAAGCGTTTCTCGCTCACACTCATTCTTTCCCTTTTGCTCTGTCTCACTCCCTCTCTTTTTTTGCACACACACACAATGGAAAACCACCTTCAAAACATGTCCCACATCCTGTGCTGTGCTTTGGTCATGGTGATTCAGGCTTGGAAACTGTTCCCATGTGCTATATCAAGAAATAAAAAAAGATTTGAGGAGCTTCACAAAACCAAAACCACTTAAGAGCGTTCGCCTATCTATAGGTTGTAGGTAAGGTTGGACCTGGTTCTAATTGTTTATCTGAACTTGGCCGGCTTTCTATTATTTTTGGAAGTGGTCTGTTGTATGTGGAGCGGTGGGACTTGAAGCCTTTGAATGAGAGTGTTTTTCAAAGCACTCCTGTCTGCCAGCAGATTGTTGTCCTGGTGAAGATTTTAGCTGAACCAGCCACAAAGTCTGTTTTTGTTTGGTTTGAATATGTCCTATTTTTCTTTGGAAGTGTGCCACAGACAAATGCCACTAGTATTTTAGTTGTTTAATATTGGGAACAATGGAAGACGAAAACAAACAACAACTAGACAGTAAAAAGAGTCTGAAGTCTTGTCAAGCATGTTTTATTTTTTGTTCCACTTTTATAACTCACTACCTTGTTAGAGGTCCTTACCAGAAAATATTGGATTACACACTGTAATAAAAGTTGCTAGTCAGCTGTGGTGTATTGATCCTTGCAATTTTTGGCGAAGAGAGTTAAACATGCATGCTGTGTGATCACAGGCAAGAAGATAACTCACATTGCAGTGTGTTGATAAAAAATACTTGTTCAATTATTTCAGCGATCTATACCCAACAGACAAATTAAGTAAATCAAAATGTCAAAAGTTCTGTAACAAAGTCAGAGGGTTTTTCTTAAAGAATGATACAGGGACGACTGTGCCATCATACTTCGCTGTAGCCTCATCAAGCTCTTTGCAAATAGGATCCGCTGATATTCAGAGTCTGCCACATGCACTGCAACACGTGCCATCCTTAAAATTGTCAGCACCATGATGCCCAGAAATTCCAGGGAGACCCTTCGAGTAGCAAGTAGTACTGGATTGTTACAAAACACCCTCAAAGTGATAGCGGCAAACACATCTGCAACGGGAATGTGTTTTGGAAAAAAGTCTCACATGTTCTCAGTCTGCTTGAACAGATTTGCAGAAGTTTGTGGGTGGTATGTCTTATGCTCTCAACTCCTTCACTGGTTCAAGTAGTCTGTATTTGTGTTGGTTCATATTGCAATCCTTGTTTTCTTGTTACAGTTTGTGAGTTTAAACATCTTTATTTTCCAGAAAATGTCTTAAAATCAGTTTGCTGACTAACACATCTCCCTCTGTGCACGTCATGCAGATATGAGACGAGTTGTACGACAGAGCAAATTCCGTCACGTCTTTGGCCAGGCGGTGAAGAATGACCAATGCTACGATGATATCCGGGTTTCGAGGGTCACATGGGACAGCGCCTTCTGTGCAGTCAACCCCAAGTTTGTTGCCATAATTATTGAGGCCAGCGGTGGTGGAGCTTTCCTCGTTCTCCCTCTACACAAGGTAAGGTTGTGTTGTGTAATTGATGTCACAGTGCAGTAGGAAGTGCCGTGTTTGGACACTGTATCAGAACTGGACTCTAAGACAAATAGATGGAAAGAACTTTATGTGTGAGGGGGCTTGCATTTACGGCTTCTGTGGAATACTTTAGCAGTACACTCAGATCATATTTGGGCTGACATAAATGTAAGCATGAACTTTAAGTAAATAATTGGCTTCCTCTCTCTTTTTTGAGTGTAACAGCCTCTTTCCAATGTTTTGTGTATAGAAAGTCATTATTTGCATTAAGACAGTAACTCTGACAACAGCTGCTGATTGTTCATGTCAGTGTACTTTGGGATTAATATTTACCAGCCGGCTGCTGCTTCACACACCCTCATGTGTACAGCAGAAACTACTCTAAAGCCCTGGAGCGAACAGTCTCCTGATCCTTGCCTCCATATAAGGAATCCCTCCACTGATTTACTCTTGGGTTGGGCAGGATGGTATTTGAAGAGTGTTTGGCTGTAAACAGCTAGTTAGCTGGGTGAATACTGTACATCAACCCCTTTTTGTTTTAACCCTGCTGTCATAATTGAGTTAATTAAAGTGCAATAGAGGTCAGACTGTATGTGAGAACGGGCTCTTGCATGTCCCCTGGAGAGCCCTTGGGTGTCATTATGGTTGATAGTGGTGAATTGCCGGTTGCTTGTGTTTCTGTTTGCCAGCTCCAAGCAATGGCCAAGTGGCAGGTCCTGACGCTGTGAGTGACATAAGCACTGCACTGCTGTTGACAGATCTACCCTGGATCTGTAATTAGTGTACACCAGTACACTGCCATGTCATATGAGAAGGCTCTGGCACCGCGGACCGGATCCTTACGCCTGTCATCACACAGCTTACACCTCTCAGCACCTCATTCAACACAGAGCTTCTACTGGAGGTGGCCCACGAGCTCGACCAGTTTCACACTCCTCCTGCCCTGTTCTCTGTGCCTGTGTTTGAGTGAGCTGCCCTCTGAATGCCATGACCCAGTACAGTGAACAAAGTCAACTTTCACTGCCGAATTAAAAAACTGGGGAAGAGTGAGGTCTTTATTCGCAGAGAAAACCTCAGGCAATTTCCTCTAGTGGGACATCAAAAAAGGATTTTTAGATCTTCCCACATATAATCAGGCATGCTTGAGAAACTAGTCCTTCAGATATAGTATTTTCGTCATTTCAACAGTCCATGCATTGTGACACTGGAGGTGAAAGGGGAACACCGTGTTATTTAAGACTTATAGTGTTGTGTGTGTGTGTTATGACTGTGAGTAGTTTGACCAGCATGCATTGCCACCAAACCAGTTTAACAGCTTAGCATAATGGAGGAAGTCAGTTGTTGGGACTTAGAATCAACATTAAAATCGGGTCTTAAAACAAAGGGCATTCCCTTTTTACGTTATGTGATTTTTTTTTTCTTTCTTTCAGCCTTTATTTTTAGCATTTATCACCATGCTATTCTCACATGATTTTTTTCTGACAAAGCAAGTCCATCTGGAACTCTCAGTATAGCCTCAGCTGGCAATGCAGGTCTCAAAAGTGGGACAAGTCTGTTCTTGCAAACGGTATGACGAGACTGCAGTGCAGTGGATCAGTATTACTGGGTTGATTGAAAAGATCATGTTGTTGCTTCTTAATTTGACATTGGTTAAACTAATATGTAAGGACGGTAGCCTGCCTCTCCATTGATTGTATTTCTTTTTTGTCAGACACAGCTCTGCTTAACAAATAAAACTGTGCCAGATTGAAGACTGTTTAAAATATTTTGGTCTCATTTCACTTTTGTTGCAAGGGTGCACATCCCCTTCGTGTCCCCAGCCTCCCACCCTTCCCGTCTCTAATGTGAGGGTGCATCTGTCCGGCTAACCCATCTGCCTGTGCTGTGCTGCTCCCAGTCTCTGTGGGCAGCCAGCTGCTCAGGGCCTTTGTCTTACGCTTACTCCCAGCGCAGCCCTTTGTCATTACCGCACTTTGGTTAGAGGGGGAGGCAGAAGTGTGATGATGCTCCTTCCCCCTTCACAATTAAGCCATATGTAGCGGTGCACCGTCTGTGCTACGGTGAAAAACATTTTGCTCAGTCTCCTTATATTTTCAAATGTCAACTCTTTTTTTTTTTTAAAGAAATCAGGGGCATCACCTAGAATTCAGAGATTGAAGTTGTGGATCTGTGACCTGACCTGTGGTCTCAGCTGCATTTTGAGCAGTCAACTGATGGGGGTGGCTCTTTGTGTGACTCACTAGGATGTGGGTTAGTGCGGCAGGCTGCCCTGACTCAGCACAGCCATGACTATTGTTGCTTCCTCCTGTCAGAACACAGGGATTTATATAGAGAGGATCAGATGTCCAGCTCAACACATGTCATTCCCTTCCCTCATGCTTTCAATCTCGCCCTTTCTCATTCATAGCTGGATGCCTGCTAATTTATTCCCTGATTTCCATATGAAGGAAGTTGTGGGAGTGAATGCAGCAGCTAGCAAGTGTTTGGTGAAAAATTCCTGATAAGTCCTCTCTGTCTGCTCAGCGTAAGAGAAGGGGAGGTATCAGGGAATTATTGCAATTGTTTTGAGTTCTATACCTTTACTTGAAATCTCCTGCTCTAATTTATCTCAGCAATCAGTGCTGTCTACACTGTTTTAGCAATCAGCACCTGCATTTTTCAAGCAGTGTTCAATGCTGCCAGTGCACAGAAAAGATGATCAAATGTGGAATGTTTGTTTGATTTGGATTCAATTCCTCAATGCACCATTCATCCAGTGCTCAGCCGTTGCTGTTAGTAATCCCTGGGCGTGTGCACAGTGACACATTATTTCTGTTCTGTCTTGTATGCACCAGTTTTCCTGCTAACCAAGCTGCACTCTGTCTCTCCATGCAAAAATACACTGAGTGTGCATGATATCCAGGGTCTTTCCCCACACTTTGGTCAGTTTGTGTTCCAAGACCTCTATACTGCTCAATTGAATCTGCCTTTGCCGCTTCTGCCGCTCAGTCCTGCTGACTGCAGATTTTACCATATATGGTCATTCACTGCTCCCTGCCTGACAGCCTTCCAAGACCATTTCCTCCCTGCCCTGCCATTGGCTGCTTCATGCAGTGTCAGTACACATGTGAATTCTGGGATAGGCCGAAATATGAAGAGCGGCCAAGATGAGAGAATTGGGTTGAAGTCAGATGTTGTTTCTGTCACAGAGTCACTCACTGTATCCAAGTGCCATATTTAAATAATTATTGTAATGTGATAATCAGCATGACTCCTACATTACTGAAAAATATGCCATGCTAAAACTGTGAGCTTCTGATTTTTATTTTAGTAACATTACAACAAAGCTATGGCACTTTCTGACATGAAATGGTGAGCGAAATTCCATTTAGGCTGTTGGATTCATTAAAAATCTGCTGCAAAAATGCAGTGATTTTAAAAACTATCTATAGGTGCACATGTCTGCCTTTCATATGTTCCAAGGTCTTATTAAAAATATTTTCTCATTCATATTCTCTCTGTTTTTAGTTTATTGTTTTTTCAGCCACATGTGCTTGACTGCATTAAAGCATGCTTTGAGGAGACAGTAGGAAGATGTGGAGACACTGCGGACACAGACCATCCCTCACAGGATATGCTGTGTCTATTTAGAGCTGTCTCATCAAAGACATGACAGAGCTTACTGACCCCTCTGATTTTCATTACAGGTTTTACTCTTCGTGCATCAAAGTGCTTGTGCATGCCTAATCACTATGGCCGTAGACATACTGGAAACACAGTTTTCTCTATCACCAGCCACGAGCAACCACCAGCCAACTAATCGTGCCATTAGACTATGAGTAAACACGTTTTTTGTGCATTGGCCTGTTAGCAAATATCCTGTGCGGCAGGAGCACTTGGATACTGATAGCTGATTTACTCCACAATTTTTCAAATGATTCCAAACTGGCAAAGAACAACCAATTTCAAATCATTTTAGAAACGTTAGACTTATCTCTGATGCTATCTGGAATTATTTGATTAAGGAGTGCTTTACTAGCCATGTGACAGAAAGGTATTGTACTGCAGTATATCTACTGTACATGCCTCTGCAGGTATGTTTGCTTTATCTCCTCAGTTATATATAGCTCAGGTTTACGACCAGTTTCTAGTGTTTTGCAATGTATTGTTCCTTGCCCTATCATTTAAGGTTATAAATCTGAAGAAATGGTTCCGGGTGTGACAGCACTGCAGCTACTAGCCGCTCAGCTGTTTGTCTCGACCATACAGACACAGAGACTTGTAAAAGTGGAAATTTCCATGGAGCTCTGAGCAGCACTGGACAGCATGCATGGAAGACCCTTTAGTGGTGTGCATGTGTGAATCACATGTTGAGCTTCAAGGAAAGGAAGTGTGCAGGCCTCTTGTGTGAATGAAAAGAATGTCCTTTCTTGCCTTGAGGGAATGTTGTTCATACATTTTTTTGTGTTTCAGTGTTGTGCTTTGTATCTGTCGCCGTGTGATTCACTCTCATTTTCTGCAGTCTTACTTGTTGCTATGCAACTGGTTGTTTTCTAGGCCTGAGACATTTCTCTCAAAGGATTCAAATGTCTGTAGTGTAGTTATGGACATGTTAGGTATTCAACTGTTGAGCGTAGCCGCTTGCTGTTGGTGTGGGTGTATTTATGCTGGTGCAGTGTCTTGTTCTGGACAAAATGATGCTCACTTCTACATTGCAAAGCACCCTGCATATACCTGTAGGCTGGTTGCCTTGGAGATGATTTTCTTGCCTGGCTGGTTTAGTCTGTTCAGGCCCCCCCCTTTTTTTTTGTTTTTTTTAAAGCGGTGTGGTATGTATTGTTATACACAATCATATAATGCTGGTCACTTGTCTGGTAAAGTGCAAGTTCATAGATCTTTCCAACCTTACGTCTGATCACAAAAATGGAAGAATCTTCTCCAGTGGACAATTAAATTAAATCTGCTGAATAATAAAGCAGTGCTCATTTAAACATTGTCAGTCCATG